TTGAGGTATCATTTTCTGAGTCCCCTAAAAATACAGAGCCAGCAGTACTGGCCACTGGCATAGGAGCCATGGAGCACGTGCTACTCTGAAGTTCATGGTAGTGAGATGTGATGTTTGTGTCCCAAGAGCCTCAGACCCAGGCCAAGGGCTCAGTGCTGGAACAGTGCAAGGCTTGCCGGCCCGGATATTTCCTGTGACCCATTTGGAAAAGTGCTTGGTTCTGTGCCTTGACTGGTACGTGGTGGAATGTTTAGGAGGTGAGGCCTTGCACCAGGTCTTAGGTCACTGGAGCACATCTCAGAAGGGACAGTGGGACCTTGATCTCTCAGCTTCTGCTTCCTGGCTCCTGGTGTAAGGACTTTGCTCTGCTGTGCTCATGTGGGGATGAGCTGCCCCTGCCTGTCTGAGGCCTAACCCAGTGGGTGGCCTGACCTTGCTTTTGACCGCTCACCCTGGAAACCAACCAGACAGACTGTTCATTACGTTTATTAAGTTCATTGAAGTCCAGCGTGGGGGTTCATAATTGTGATTCCAGTACTCTGGGAAGCTGAGACAGGAGGAACTCAAGTTTGAGTGCAATTGCTAAATTGCACAATTTAGCAATTTATCAGGACTCTATTCAAGGGAAGAGTAAAAAGGATTGGGGTGGAGCTGTCTGTGAAGGTCCTGGACTCAATCTCAGTGCTGAAAAAAAATTATTTTTTCTCTCTGTTCTGTAGGCTGGAGATCCCAGAGGCTTCTTTCCTGTCTGGGGCTGGATTCCCCATAGTTTTCTATATCTTCAGTGTCTTCTCTCTGTGTGAAATTGGGTCCAAATTCCCTCTCTCCGTGAGCACTTGAGTGGATAGAGTAGAGCTCCCCCACCCCAAGACCCCGTGGTAACTGGATCACCTCTTTAGAGACCGAATCTCCAAATGGAGAACTGGGGGCTGGGACTTTTAAGATATGCATTTGGGGGAGACACAATTCAGCCCATAACTCTGAAACTGCTTTGCCAACCATAAAACAGGCCTTGGGGTGCTGGCCCCTGCCTGCCTGTGGGAGGGGCCCGAGGTGGCTTGGGGACTGGTTCTTCTACGCTGTCATTCATGAGTGGTGGCCTGACAGTGGTCCAGCTTACCCAGCTGCAAATAGCTTTTATTTCCTTCTTCCCTACTAAGGATTGAACCCAGGGCCTTCCCACAGAGTTACACCTCCAGCCCTTTTTTATTCTTTATTTTAAAATAAGGTCTCACTAAATCACCACATTACACAGGGTGGGCTGGAACTTGGGATCCTCCTGCCTCAGCTTCCCAGCGTTTTGGTATTACAGGAGTGTGCCATCAAGCAGGAGCCCACTGGCTTCTTGGGAAATGTGTAAGGTGTAACCAGGTAATTAGAACAATAGAAACATAGGGAAGGGGCTTGGGCCTGAAACTGGATGCCCTATTCTTAAAGTGACCACGCCAGGGTTCAGGACCTGGCCCACATCACAGCCCTGAGCCCACTGTCCTGAAGAACCTCAAGGTGCCCCAAATGTTGCAGGCTCAGAGAGGCGTGGTTGGCTAGAGAGGCCCGAGGTGGGGAGTGTGGGTTCCCATAAGGCCTCGAGAGGGGAAGGGTCCTAATGGAGACTGGTAGGAGGAGAGCTGACCAAGCAGAAGGCCGAATGGCCACAGCTACAGGTGACACTGGGGGCTGGGTGGTCCGCAGTGCGCCCTCTGGCGGCAGGGGGTGGAGCCTTCAGGGAAGTTGAGGCTGGCAGTCCAGGGAAACAGGACTGGTGAGGCTGGACCAGCTCGCTGTGCAATCCCTGCATTCTGGGTAGCTGAGACAGCAGGATCTCAAGTTTGACTCCAATGAGGGCAGCTTAGAGAGACTCTGCCTCACAATGAAAAATGAAAAAGGGCTGGGATGTAGCTCAGTACGGGATTCAGAGACGGTCAGCAGACTCTGTTCCTGAGCCCTTGAGGCGGGTGCATCTGGGCGCTGACTGCCCTGTTCTCACAGAACCACTCCCTCCCGCTCTTTGGAGATGCACGCAGGTGTGGATACAGAGCCTGTGCTGCTGGGCTGAGTGGTAGCAGGACCCCAGGCTGTGGAGGTGTCCCCTGGGTAACTGGGATAGGCTGGATTGCCACGAGTCTGGGGTGGCTGGGACTGACTGGTCCCCAGGGCTGGGTAGCTGGGTTCCTGTCCAAGCTCAGCTTTGAGTTAGGGCCGGGTCACGGGCTGAACCTGCAGACTCTCTTTGCCCACCTGCAGAATAAGAGAGGACAATTGTCAAACTCAGTGACACTGTGGGTTTGACCATCTAATCAGCAATGACGCCTTGGGCATGGTTTTTCCTTACCAACTCTGGGTGTGTTGACGTAGCCTTCACTGTTACCAGGACAGGTAAATGATTTGTCAGTCCTGGGTATTGCACCCAGGGCCTTCCCACTGAGCCACACCTTCACTCCTTTTATAAGTTTAAAAATTCATCAAGTTGTCCAGGTTGGGCTCAAATTTGTGATTTTCCTGCCTCAGCCTCCTAAAGCGTTGCGATTACAGGTGTGCATTTCCATGCCTGGCTTAGATTTTTTAAAAATATAATTGAGGCTCAGTTAGGGCACATCACTTTGCCTAAGTCACACAACAAACTGATGGCCAAAGCAGGTTTCTTCTTTTGTTTGTTTTCTTTTTCTCCTTGAAATAAAATGAATTTGGTGGGGAGAAACCAAAACAGGTTTCAAACTAGGTCTCCGGGTACCTTTGGGGAGGCAGGTTGGCTTTTGACTACTTTTCCCTCTTCCCAGGTAATTCTGTTTCTGCCAGTATTGGTAGGATGTTTTTTCCTAGCAAATTGTCCAGCTGTCAACATTTTGAAGGTTTGTGATGTAAGGTCACATAGAATGTCTATTTACACATTTTACTATCTGGAATTGTTCTTGTTCTTTTTGTCTATATGTATGTCTTTTGTTTCTCATTAAGAATGGTTTAGGTTTGTTGATTAGGTTTTTTCAAAAACCTGTTTGTGTTCTGTTCATTTTTTTTAAGAGACAGAATCTTGCTAAGTTGCTACGTTGCCCAGGCTCTGCATGAATTTGTGATCTTTCTTCTGGGCTTCCTTAGTGCTGGGATTATATGAGTGTGCCACTGTGCCTAGCATTTTTTTTTTTTTTTTGTCTTTTTGAAACAGTGTTTCACTATATGAACTCACAGCAATCCTTGTGTCTCAGCCTCCTGTGTGCTGGGATTACAGATATGTGCCATCACATCTGACCATTAAAAAAAATTCATTTTAATGGTTCTTTGATAATTTATTTTTCAGTTTTACTCTTTTCTCACCAGTGTGTGTTTTGTGGCTACTTTCATTTATAGGTTGATCAAGATTTTTTTGGGTTGATCAAGTTTTCTTTTTTTCTTTCTTTTTTCCTTTTTGTTTTGATTTTGATTGGTTTGTCAGTTTCACATTTTCCTTGCTAGTGTTTATCTTAAGATTCAAAACATACTTAATCATGTATTTTTATACCACACTCAAAACTACCTGACTTCTATGGTCTTCCCTTATTATTTATTTGTTTATTGTACTGGGAATGGAACTCACGACCTCACCCTTGCCGGGCAGGTGCTGTGCCACTGAGCTACTTCCCTGGCCTGGTCTTTCCTTATATAAGACAAAAATCTCTGCAACTTCTAGTTTCCTCAGACCTTTTCCTCTTTGCCATCTTCCATATCAAGATCACCTTTATTTTAGATCTAGGCTGTTATTAAATCATATTGGGGTTTTTTGGCCCATAACTGCTACTTATGTTTAATATCTTCCATTCAGGTCATTTTTTGTGTCAAAATAAAGTCTGTAATCATTCAGAAAGGCTGACTGGTAAACTCCCTGGTATCTTTTTGCACCTGATAACCTCTATTTGACCTTTGTCCTTGCCGGATAGTTTGGCTAGGTATAGAATCCTAATTCTTTCCTCTTTAGAACTTTGAGGTAGTTGTATCTCTGCCTTCTTGAGTCTGATGCTTCTGATAAAAACTTAATTTAAAATTATTATGGGTAATTTTTTATCCTTTCTTTCTATGGCATTTAGTATTTTTTCTTTGTCCTGCTCAGAAATCTCTTAATAGCACTCAGTGGGCCTTTCAAATTAGGAGTCATGTCTTTCTTTAGCTCTGGGAAATGTTATTATTTAAGTGCATTCTTCAGGAAGTTCTCTTTGCTCTCTCTTATTTCCCTTTTGTATTTATTAATAAGTAGGTGTTTGCATGTGTCTGGTTTCTAAATTCTTTAACTTCACATTGTCCATCTCTTTGTATTTTTGCAGGACCTCCTGGGAAGCATCACAGACTTCTGCCTCACCAAAAAGTCTTTAGCTGTTTCCACTGTGTGTGTGTGTTAGTGTGTGTGTGTGTTTTCTAGTACTCGGGATTGAACCCAAGGCCTTTGCACTGAGTTACATCCCCCGCCCTTTTCCTTTTTATTTTGAGACGGTCTCATTAAATCATTGTCACCCAGGCTGGGCTCCACTTGAGAGCCTCCTGCCTCATTTCACAAAGGTCCCTGGCTGGGCCCTCACCTAGTCCCTGGTCTCTTACCTGATGCTGGTGCCCAGGCTGCTCCTTCTCTACCAATGCCATCTTCTGTTCCCTGCCCGTGGCCCTCCACTCTTGCTCAGCTGAGGGACCTTTCAGAGCTCAGCTGGTGGCCTTTTATAAGACAGGCCCTGCTCTGTCCCACAGGTGCATGCCCTCACATCAGCCTGTCATCCTGTGCTCTAGGCTGTCACCTCTGCAGCCAGGCTTCCAGAGGCAGCAACTGATCAACCCATCCCTCAGGAAGTACCAGTACAGAAACGATAAGCTGCAGGCTAACGAGTGTGGGTGCCCCCTGGGGTGGCAGGGGCTCTCAGTGGGCCCCTTACCCACCAAGAAAGTGCCTGCAGGATTTGCTGGGGCACCTGCTCTCCCAGCTCAGCCTCTAACCTCAAGGTCCTCAGGAGCAGACAGCGCTGACATGACTTCTATTCTCTCCACAGGCACTGGTGCCATCACACGGTGACGCGGACCGTGTCCTGCCAGGTGCAGAACGGCTCGGAGACCGTGGTCCAGCGCGTGTACCAGAGCTGCCGGTGGCCCGGGCCCTGTGCCAATCTCGTGAGGTAAAGGCCTTGGGCTGACCCTCGCCCTCTCTATTCCTTGGGGAGGATCCAGCCGCAGCACAGTGCTGGCAGAGGCTGGATTGGTGCTTGGAGACCAGATGTGAGCCGAGCACACATTTATGGAGAACCTTGTGTGTGCAGGCGGGGGGCATGTGTGTGTACCAACGGTGCCTCCACCGTGAGAGAAACTCGCAGAGACACCACAAATGCTGGGTGAGGGGAAGGAAGCAGCAGGAAAGGGTAGGTGGGGCCAAAGCAGGAGCTGGTTAGCTTCCAGGCTCCAGACTGGAGTACAGGGTGAGAATGCTCTTTTAACCTCTCCCACTACAACCTTTCCCCTCAAGCCCCACCCTATTGGCCCCGCCCACACCACAAAACCACGCCCATAACACACGAAGCCACGCCCACTCCCACCTACGGCCTCCCACAGCGCACTCCTCCTCTCGCTGTTCCATCCCCCAGCTCTGTCCTGGCCTGGTCCTCTGCCACACATGCGCATCCGCATCCGCATCCCCATCAACAGGGAGCCATTTCTGATCCTGCTGCCCGGCCTGGCCTTCTTCACCTCCAAGGCTCTACTTCACTCCCTCCCTTCTGCTCCTCCTCCAGGCGGCACTGCGGCTCAGAGACAGCTCCCCCAAGCTGTCCCCCTCCCCCTCAGCGTGCCACCCTGGGGCCTCTGCTTCACGGATCCCACCCAATCTCTGCTGTCCCCACGCTCTGAATCTGGGGTGTCCTGGGGTCTTCAGGGAAACAGAACCAGGGGGCGGTGCACGTGGATGGGGCCCAGTCCACAGTTAGAAGGCTGGCAGGTGATGCGAGGGACCCAGGGGGCTCGCGGCTTGGGTCCAAGGCAGGCTGCGAGCACCCAGTGTGGACTCTAACGCGATGCACGCCACCTGTGACGTCAGTCCTCTCACCTAAAACACGCCTGCGCAGCAGCGCCCACTTGCGGGTGACTGCAAATTGAGTACGGACCCAGGCCAAGGTAACTCACTCGTGGCACTGACCATAGCTGGGCCATGATAAAATGGAGGTCAGGTCCCTGACCATCTTGGGCCACTGCCGGCCGAGATCAGCAGCACCCTGTCCCTGGGACCTTGCTCGGGGTGTGTGGAGCCCAGCGAGGCGCAGATGGGCTCTGGCCGGCTTTGTTTAGTTTTCCAGATTCCCGTTCTGCATTTGGTGGTTGTGATTACGAAGAAAGGTGATCTATTAAAAATCCGCGTATTGGGGCTGGGGATTTAGCTCAGCAGCATAAGCGCCTGCCTTGCAAGCAGGCAGTCGTGAGTTCGATCCCTGGTACCGATAAAAACGAAAAAGACCAAAAAAAAAAAAAAAATCCACGTATTGCAGAACTGAATATGGCACAAAGTGAGCATGCTTTCCTTTCCCAACTCCATTGCTACGACCCCGCTAAATGTTTCCATTCTAGATGTTTTCCCCACTTCATATTCCATAATTCCCGGAACTGTCCTCTATCCAGAGAATTTTCTTTGCTTTTCCTCCCAGAAAAATACTTTGGGTTCATTTCTCATGGGGCCACCTTTTTAACACCCATGTAGTATTTCACCATTGGCAAGGACCATTGTTTATTTCCCATGTCTTTGACAGATACATGTTTAAGGGTTTCCTAGGTTTTGCTTTTACAGATTGCACATCGAGTATCACTATATGTGTATATGTATGTTTGTAGAACTTTTTTTTAAACTTTGTTTTGGAATATATATATATATATATTTTTTTTGGTACTGCTAATCAAACTCATGACCTTGTGGTTGCCAGGCAGGTGCCAGTGCCACTGAGCTAAAGCCCCAGCCCTATTTTGAAATAATTTTAAGTTTGTAAAATTAGTAAGTGAAGTTTCTCTGTACCTATACCTTTCACTTGGCTTCCTGTAAGGTGAACAACCTGCATAACCACTGTACAGATAATCAAGTCAGTAAGTTGAATGACACCATATTATAGATAGGCCCTCTTTAGATTTTGTCAGCCGTCCCCATAATATCCCTTTCCAAACTGGGGTTAATGATGTACCCCTTTAATCCCAGGTGTTGAGAAGCTGAGGCGGGGGGGGGGGGATCATTCTGAGTTCAAGGCCAGCCCGAACTACATAGTGAGACTGTCTCAAAACAAACTAAATGAAACAAAGCAAACAAACAAAGCAAAACAAAACATTCTTTTCCACTGTGGGACCTGCCTTGCAATTAAACTGTTCTGGGTCCTTGGGTCAATGCATTTTCATGCCTCTTGTCTCTGTTTGGCAGTGTTGGCCTGTGGTTTTGTGACTCTTCTCTGACACTTCCTCATGATTAGATGGAGATGGTGCGTTTTCTGCAAAGACATGAAAAGTGACAATGGATCCACGCATAAGAGGTGCAGAGAGGTGATCCCGCTCATGACTGGCGGTGTGGACTTGGGTCACTTGGTCAAGGGGACATCTGCTGGATTTCTCCACTGTTGTGCAATGCTTTCCTCCTTTGACCTTTGTATGTGCCATTATCCCTGCATGTCCGTGGTGCATTGACCAGCCCACGACCTCTCCCAGACTCCAAAGTCCACAGAGATTTGAGTTCCTTCAGGGGAATGGCTTGATGCTTGCACAGCACCTGCACGCATCCTCCCAGCGCTTCACCAGCTGTGGACGACTCCTGGTGTCCAGTGCAATGCACACACTCGTGTGTAAATCGCACCATACTGTAGTATTTTGGGAAGGACTCCCCAAAAAATGCCTTCGTGTAGTCAGTACAGATGCAATTTGTTATTGTTTTTGTTTTTTGAGGCAGGGCCTCACTATGTAATTCAGACTGGACTTGAACACTACATAGCTCAACCTGGCCTTGAATTCACGGCTATCCTCCTGCCTCAGCCTTCCAGGTACTGGGCTTACAGGTGTGCACCACCAACTCAGCTTACAGATGTAATTTAAAAAATTTTTTTCAATAGTCAGTTGGTTGAATCTGAAGGTACAGAACCATGGGTGGGGAGAGCCAACTTAGTGTTGTGGGGAGATATTTTGAACCTATACAAATACCTTATTTCTCATTATACTTTACCCATTAGTTTTTGCGTGCTTCTGGCTTCTGGCCCAAACAGTGATTGCTCTGCTGTTTGCTGGGTGGTGATTTTTCTATTTTCATTGTTTTTTAATAGAAGACTTCTAGCAGGGTGTGTGTGGTGCACACTTCTCATCCCAGCTACGCGGGAGGCTGAGGCAGAAAGGTTGAAAGTTTGAGATCAGCCTGGGCAACTTAGTGAGACTCTTGTCTCAAAACAAAACAAAACAGAGAACACTTTTTTAAAAAGGAGAAAGGAAAGGCAGATCAGCTAATTTTATTGAATTGCTCTCCTTGTCCGCAGCATTTTCAAACGATAATTGATTTTCATGGTTCCCCTCTGCTTTATGACCTCAGTTAACAATCTGAAAAATGTTTTAGGAGCTTCCGTGTGGGTGTTTGCTGGTCTTTGGGGAAGGTCTTCTCTCCTCTCAAGGGGTAAGCGCCAAGGAGAGGGCTTCACAGGGGACGCATGCGTGTTGTGAAAGTTTTCCCTTTGCTCAGAGCTCGCTGGTGGGAGCCGATTCCACCGATGTTGTTGCTTGTTAAGGAAGGAGGGGTCAGTACCCTTCTTTCTCACTGGTGACTCATAACTGAGCTAGAATTGGGCACAGCCCCTCTTACGAGGCCTTGGGGCTGCTGCCTGGGCAGGGAGGTTATAGTTCTGCCGCCTGCTTCCTGAGCCACCTGGGGTCCCGTGTGCATTCTCATCGCTGGCCCCAGTTTTGCTGATTCCAGTTTTGCTGGCTTCCCCTCCAAGGGGCATTTGGTTTGTAGGAGGAACTTCCTCTCTGGTCTCCCCTGGGAGACTTCACCCTCCACCAGCCCCTTTGTGTCTGCTGTGACATTCCTCAAGGTCACAGAAGAGCAGCATTGGCTCCAGGCATCACATCTCATGCAAGAGTGTCACAAAGGGACCAGGGGTTTAGCTCAGCTGTAGTGAGTTTGATTCCCAGTATGAAAAAAAAAAAAAAAAAAAAAAGAATGTTAAGAAAAGAAAAAAGAAAAAGAGGAAGGGGAGCAGGACACAATTTTTTCCTATCACAAAGGACAGTCTTTTCTAGAAGTTCTAGTAGCCAGGATTGGCCCTCTGAGCCTCAGTGTCCCCAACTCTAGATGGAAGTGATAGAAAGCTACCTCAAGATGGTTTGAAGATGAGGGGATAGGGAAGACATATATGAGTTTGGCTGTAATTTGGCTGAGACTGAATCAGAAGTGGACTCCAGTGCAGCACAGGCCCCCAGACTTCCTGGAGTGGGTCCGGCCTGGGTACGCCTGGGCATGCCTTCCCCCAGCAGCAGCCCACTCCTGTGCCTTTGCTTAGATCCCGGTTGCCTGCCATGTCTGGCCGCATTTCAACCGCAGTGTTTACATGGACCTGTTCCGGGGTTTATCTTTCTTGTTCATTTGCTGCCCACTTTTCTGAAGCTGTGTGGGGTCCAATTTTGGTTCTCTCCATCCTTGGAAGTTCTTCGGGTGCTTTGATTTGCATCTGCCCAGAAGCTCTGTGGGGAAACAAGAGAGGGTGTGAGCCTTGTGGGTGGATGGGGCAGAACTGCGTCTCCTGGAGCCCCTCTTTTCAAGTCCTGCCATTGCTGTGGTCGCGGTGTGGACCACTGATGCTTTGTTGCCATGACAACGCAGACACACAGGCACACACACGGCACGTTAGCACTCTGCACATGGACTGTTTCAGGACACAGTCATGACTCTTAACAACCATGGCTGCCTGATGAATTCCGTCTTAGCCTTGGGGTCCAAACGCAACTCTTCCCCTTGTGACACTGTTGCTTGCACCCCACGAGGCAGAGAGAGAAGCCCCTCAGGGGCCAGTGGTCACATTTCCTTGAGGGCAGAGGACGTCCATTTTCCTTAAATCTTCTGGTGCCTTGCCAGGGGAAGGGACTCATGAGCTCAGCAGTCTCACCACCCCCCACCTCCTCC